TTTAATGGGGAAATATGCTAACCAATAAGAACTCAAAGTGCCAAATACCAGCGAATTCGGTTGAAACCCGCGCTCAAGAACCCTAAAATGCCGAAAATTGGGGGGTACCCTTATATGGGGGCTACCCGGAAAAATTGATCTATATTTATAATTTTTGGTATAGAGATTTGCTAGCCAATAGGAACTCAAAGTACCGAATTCGGTCGAAAAATGCTCCCCAAAACAACGCAAAATTGGGGGTACCCTTATATGCGGGCTATCCGAAAAAAATGGACCCATATTTATAATTTTTACTGGAGAGATTTGCTACCCAATAAGAACTAAATGTACCAAATTTCAGCGAATTCAGTTGAAAAACGCGCTCAAGAACCTCAAAATACCGAAAATTTGGGGGTACCCTTACATGGTAGCTATGCCTAAACGTGGATCGTTAAAGCCCATCTTCGAACTTGGCCTGCCTGTAGACAAAAGACGACTCTATGCAAAATTTTGGCGATATATCTCAATTCGTTTAGACGCTAGAGTGATTACAACAGACAGACGGACATGGCTATATCGTCATTGAATATTACGCTGATCAAGAATATATATACTTTATAGGGTCGGAAATGATTATTTCGATGAGTTACGACCGGAAAAATAAAACGAATATACCCCCCCATACTATGGTGGAGGGTATAAAAAAACCTAATAATGCCCAAAATGGAGCGTAGCCTATAAGTGGTGATATATCAAAACATGGACCTATATAGGAAATTTTCCACGAGCATGCGTCCCGGAATGCCAAATCAAAGCCAAATGAAAACCGTTGAGCGGAGCAGTACCACAGATCTCTAAGTTTATGTGGATCTATATTCTATATTCCGAGACTGGATAATATTTCGCGATATTTGCTCTCTCTTGACCGGTTAGAGGTGACCACGTCCTCTGCGGCATATTTTCCGAATTATGTTTTCCGGGAGTATACATTTGCTCCATAAGATTTAAATTTTGTTATTCTACAGGCAAAAATGTTGGTTCATTCAAGACAGCCATTCGAATTAGTTTGTGAGATCGTCTTCACCATGGAAATTTTGCGATAATATATATAGAGCGACTAGAAAACCTGGTAAAAGAAGTTTTCGGCCCATGCCCGAAATATCATCTTATCATAATCAAAAATTATAGTCCTCGTTCTTGACCATAACCGGTACCTCATGCAATTCCTAGCCATTATAGCTCCCGTTTCGCCCTCTAGTCTGGTAATGGTAATATCATTTTCAGTAAACGTAGGCATCTGTACCATGGGAATTTTTTTGAAATACAAGTACAGTTACATAACGCGCTAAGCCAAAAAGTGAACCGATAGCTTTAATTTTTGGTAGCGACATTTGCATCCCAACAAGATTTCAAAATATCATATTGGAGTCAATTCGCTTGATAAGCGTGGCAAAATCTGAACAATTAGAAGTGTCGTTATATGGGGCTCTACCAAACGTATACCAAAACGTGCACCGATATATCCCATGTTCAATACCAAACATCCTAGGAGTAGTAGCAATGTACTCGTATGTGCAAAAATTCAGAAACACTATTTTAACAATTGTGATTTCTACCGCGATTTCAACAGACAGGCGGATATGTCTAAATCGACATAGACTTTTATTCTGATCAAGAATATATAAACTTTGCAGGGTTTCAGGTGAATATTTTAGGGTGTTACAAACGGAATGACAATTTTAATATAGCCTCCAGGTCCAAGACATAGTTCCCATGTAAATGTCTCTATCCATTATCAGTATTTTGAAAGTTTTAGCCGCATTTTTACTCTTAGCCATCGGCAATACATTCAGATTCCGGATTCTTTCTACCGAGAAATTATTCAATATAGGTCCTTGTTTTTACAAAACTTCCATACAAAGAACCCTCTTAATTTGTTCGTTATTATAAAGTATAGGATATACGGCGGATCACCATCAATTCCCTGTTTTGGCCGATCAAAAAGGCGTTATATGAGCAATGTGTGAGAACTCGGATTGTGATGGCACGCAATGAATCTTCAGACGAATAAACGAATATTTGTTTCGGAGTGATTCTTCAATGAAGACCCATAGGATCGTTTGATAATTTGTTTCCGGGTCAAACACTTAGATCCATTATATTTGCCCGATTGAGAGAAAATTTTGCGCAGCGTACTGAATTCAGACCAGTTTAACGTGCGTGAAGTTTTGTTGAAATCGGTTCAGAGTTAGATATAGCTCCCATATATGGTTTTGTCCGATTTTATGTTAAAATCGGTTCAGATTTACACATAGCTCCCATACATACTTTTCTGGATTCCATACAAATGTTACAGCAAACCAGTGAGCGGAGCAGTATAGTCGGACGGGACCGATCATACGATACCCTACACAACTTCCATGAAAATCTAACTTTCTGTGATTTTACATTCTGAGATTGGGCAATATTTCGCGATATTTGCACACTTTTGACTGGCTAGAGGTCAGCAAATATTACTAATTATCAGCGCAGCCCCTCTAATTACTTGTCCAGATTCCCTTCACTGTGGGTTGTGTGGTGATGTTCGGCTTTCGACTCGAAAAGTACAAATAATTAAGTTTTCGGTCCACTTAATCCGAAGAATTATTATCTGATCATCACCTAACATTTTAGGCGTTGTTCTTGACCATAACTGGAACCTCATGGAACATTTTAAAGCGATCAGCGCTATATATTCTTTGGCCCGATCCCCTTCTCTATGCAAAAATTCGCGGTGTTTGGGCCATAATTGCGGCCTCTGGAGCGACCAGAAAAACCGACAAAAATTTAGTATTTGGTCCATTTCATCCCCTAAATATTAACCGATCTTTTCCAAAAACCATCTTCATGCAAAATTTCATGAAGATTGGTCCATAACTGTGGCCTGTATCGTGTTTACAAATTATAATGGACAGACGGACGGACGGACACACATGTCTAGATCGACTCAGCTAGTCGAGATATGACGATCGGTATACTTAAAGGTGGGTCTAGGACCAATATTTCGCTGCGTTACAAACTTTTGGGGCTGCACAAAGCTATAATACCCTGACAACATAGTTGTGTAGGGTATACACATCTAATGGGTCGGTTACGGATGGTAACCATAGTTTAGTGTCGTTGCCAGTTGCCAAATTTGAATTATGGATGGCAACTGTTGTCAACTTCAGTTGATTCAAATAGAATTTTTATACCCTACACAACTATGTTGTCAGGGTATTATAGCTTTGTGCAGCCCCAAGGGTTTGTAACGCCGCGAAATATTGGTGCTAGACCCACCTTCAAGTATATCGATCGTCATATCTCGACTAGCTGAGTCGATCTAGACATGTGTGTCCGTCCGTCCGTCTGTCCATTATAATTTGTAAACACGGTACAGGTCACAGTTATGGACCAATCTTCACGGAATTTTGCATGTAGGATGGGTTCTGGTCAATGAAGACCCCTAGTGTTTTTGGGAAAGTTCGATTAACATTTAGGGGATGAAATGGACCAAATACTTAATTTTTGTCCGTTTTTCTGGTCTCTCCAGAGGTCGCAATTATGGCCCAAACATCGCGAACATGGAGAAGGGGATTGGGCCAAAGAATAAGCATGCCTGTTTTAATAAAGATCGGTCAATATTTAGCGGGTCAAATGGACCCTGACTTTTGTGTGAAAAATGAAAAACATTGTATTCTATAGTGTATATTTTTGCTCCTGAAGGACATAGACCCGAGACGTTGATTGTATATCCAAGAGGAGTAGTTGGCCTTTAAATTGATACCAACTATATTGTCGTATGTACTCGGATGTGGGAGTTACACGTAAATATTAACAGGTGCTTACGTATTCAGATATTATTTAGTAAACCATTACCACACTGGAGGGCGGAAATATAGCGCTGATCACATTGAAATGTTCCGTGATGTTCTAGTTATGATCAAGACAACGCCTGCAATTTTCTGTGATGATCAGATAACAATTTTGGGATGAAGTGGACCAAAAACTTTTTTTGTGTTTTTACGAGTCGATCTATAGGCCACAATTATAAGCCGAACAACACAACCCACGGTGAAGGGAATATGTACAAGTAATTAGAAAGACTATACTGAATATAAGTAATATTCGGAAAATAAGTCAGTGTAAGGAAGAGGTGCAGTTGACCTCTCCTTGGGCAAGAGGGTGAAACTATCTCGATATATTGCCCAGACTCGGAATAAAAATTCCACAGAAAGTTCCGTGGTAGTTGTGTAGGGTATCGTATAGTCGGCCCGCCCGACTATACTGCTCCGCTCTCTGGTTTAATTTGGAAACAATCCAAATTTTACACAGCTTTTCCTCTATTAGCCGGACAACTTCGGCCAAAACCACCGACATTGTAGATTGAGCCATGCCAAGGTTGAAGTCATTGCCTCCGCAAAAACCACAGAGCTGCACACACTTTTAAGAGAGGAGGATTTTTTTTTTTTTTTTGGTTCAAATATCTATGTAGATCACAAACTTTTTGTCGCCCGATTCAATTTCTATGGTTTTCCAAAGATGATTTGTCTCTTTAATCTACAGGATATTGTACACATTATCATCTCTTGTATGTACCCAAAGTGGTGAAGGGTATCATATAGTCAGCTCCGTCCGACTTTTGAACTGGTTTTGTTTGTGGCTTTGTGCCCTTACACATGATGTAATATATAACGTAATATGTTTGGTAAACCTTTCTAGAAAACCATGAGTTGTATCAGGACTTAAACGACTTTTAAAATAAACAACTCAAATTTGGGTTCTCGTCTGACCAGTCGTTTGTTTTTCAAATGAAAATTTCCCTTCTTATGACTTTATCCCACAGTAGCCACATTAATTTAATATTTCCACCTTATACACTTCAAATTTTTCAAATAAAACATTATTTTTTAAAATATTACATTTATGGTTTCGCATTTGTTTCACATTTGTATTTAGTTGAATACTGAAAATATTTATTTTCTACCCGTTTTGAAACATACTTAAACAAGGGTAGCATGTTCCTTATAATAACACTGATACAAAACAAATGCCGTTTCACAATTATCACTGCCCTTCAAGCTGTTGCATTTAGCCATAATGGCATCCAACTTATCTTGGCCAACATTGGGTCCCAATTTTTGTGACAACACCTCAGGTTGAGGAACACCATTTGAAATGAAGCCGGCCTTTTGCAAGAAACAATTAGCAAAACATTGGGCATTTTTATCCAAGCCATCAAATTGTCCCTTAATCAATGCAGTGGCGGCTTCAGTAGTGCTGTGCTCCTTTTCAAAACATTCAGCACTATATTGGAGGGCATTTATCTTTTGTTGTTCGCTCAAGTTGATGGGCTGAAACAAAATATTAAATTAATTATTAATTTTATTTATATACATATTTCTTCTCTTTTCGGCAATACTTACAATTTGGCCATTGACAATGGTGCAAATGACGAGGACAACTAAAGCAACAGCACACTTCATATTGACATTCAAATTATTTTTATTTTTAATTTTAAATTTTCTAGTATTTATTCTAAACGTCACTGCTATACTGATTAGGAAGTTTCATTTGATATCGGCTATTTATATTCATTTTTTCTCTTCGCATTGCATTTGCTGCATACATACAGTAAATGCCATAAAATGTTTGAATAATAATTTATTTAAACTACTACAAAAATCATGGTCGCCAAATTAGTCATGGCTTCTAGTTTTGAATCGTGTGTATTATTAATTTTAGCTACCACTGTGCAGAGCTATGACTTAGGTTGTAGTTGTTATACCTTAGGTTGTTGTTATTTAACTGGTTTTATGTAGCTGCAGCAACTACAATAACAACAACAATTGGGTTAAAATGCAATAGAATCAGATAATTGGCTGGTAGCTGCGTTCATATATAAAACTATTAATGATCGGCAAGCAAGATTAAAAATTTCGAGGAAATAAAATATCAGACTTTTGGACAGTTATTTCTGACTGGTCTTAAGTAGATTTAATAACTGTTGGAGGGTTTATAATACTGGTTGTTCCGTTTATAGCTGCTCGATAATATATTAAATACAATACGTGGACCGAAAAATCATGCTTTCAATAGCAAGCATCCTAGTAGCAATGTATTTACAAAATTACAAAATATTAAGTATTCCAAGTCTATCGTACTGTTCCCAGACAGTATCGCGTGGAATTTAGGTATATCTAAATCTAAACCGATTCCAACAAAACTTTGCACACATCAATCGGGAACTATTTCAGTACTCTATGCAAAATGTTGTCTCAGTCGAACAAATATTGGGAGTGTGGTGTACCATTTACATATAAAACCATTCTCGATTTTAATTTTTCAAGATTTTCAATGGGCTGGTATATCAATACCAATGCTTTGTTAAGGTTTGTAACTTTGCACATATATATTTGAATATTTTAAAGAGAAGAACAAAAATGTACAAAAAATTTGTGTTATTGTTTTGTTGCAATTAAAAAGAAGTCCTTATTTTTGATGGTGGGCATGATAACTCCTCACTGGAACATCGGAAACCGAAAATTCTAACGGTGTTAGAAAGAGTACATGTCTGGCTTTCGTATGAAGTAGGATTATTGACTTCGCTCTAAAATTAACAAAATGGCGGACCTTTGAACAAATATTTTTGGAAAATCGCCATTTTTTACCAAAAACCATGTTAAAAAATAGGGAAGATCTTCTCCGATTGGTTTTATCCTATTTCATACGATAGCTATACACTCAGAGAGAAACGTGTAAAAATTTGGAATCGATTGGGTTATTAGTTTTTGAGTTATCGTGCCCGCCATTCGCAAAAGAGAACGGGACCGACTATATGATACCCTTCACCACAATGGGTATATTAAACAGTATTATTAACATGAAATTGTATGAAATAAAATATGTGATATTTATCTAAATGTGAATCGGACTAGATCTATCCATAAACATGTCATTCGTTTGGGCCAAAAGTATGAAAATCGACTTCAAACAAATATCAATAGGTCATCCGTTGGGCTATGTCTGTACTTCTAGAAAACGTAACTACGTTATTCTAGGCTCAATTTTGTACGTTGTGCAAACTTTGATGTCAATCTGACAAATATTAGGAGTTTAATGTACAATTTACTTAAGATGGAAGCTATACCCAAATATGAAATGATTTCAACGAAACTTGTCACAGGTTAAGTTATACTAATTTCGGTACGTTTAGTTCCTATCAGCCATATATTGGTTTCTTGGTGAGTCAATTACTTCATATCAGCTATATCTAAATCTCAACCGATTTTTACGAAACTTGGCACACAAAATTCTGGACTAAATTCAGTACGTTATGCAAAATAAGAACTTTGACACATTATTTAAATTAAATCGGACGAAAAAATATATATCTAGATCTGAACCGATTTTCACAAAACTTGGCAGATATCGCTCTAGGCTCAATTCAATACGCCATGCCAAATTTCGTTCAAATCGAAATGTATATAGAGACTTTGGTCATTTACATTAAATCGGACGAAAACATACATGGGAGCTATATCTAAATCTCAGCCGACTGTCACAAAACTTAGCACACATTATTCTTGTCTTAATTCTGTAGGTCATGCCAAATTTCGTGCATATTGAAAGATATATAGGAACTTTGATACACCATTTTCATAATATCGGACGAAAATATATTTGGGAGCTATATGTAAATCTGAATAGATTTTCACGAAATTTAACACTCATCGTTCTAATTCTAATTCAGTACTCTGTGCCAAATTTCGTGCAAATCGAAAAATATATAGGGACTTTGGTGCACAATTTACATAAAATTGTACGAAACTATTTATGGCAACTATATCTAAATCTGAACCGATTTCCTCCAATTTCAATACAAAGACATAATATCCTGTACTTAAACTTAATTGCATGATGTTGGCTTGTTTTCAAACGTATACCTTAAAACTACGCTGGGCGTATAAGTGTTGTCATAACTCATACGCCTTGAGAGTTCGTTGGGCGTATAAGTGTTGTCACAACGTATTCGTCACAAATCCACAAATGTTTAAAAATTAAAAATGTCTAAAACTAATCTCAAACTGTGTTAGGACCTCAAAAATATTTTTAGCAAATCCACGCCTGTGGATAAGACTTATTTTTGTTATTATTTATTTTTGTTAGGATCGCAGAACTATTTTTTAAACAATTCAAGCCTGTGGTAATAACTCAGAATTATGTTTTTAAGGCTCCACGCTTTATTAAGACCTCAGAAATATAGTTTTCAAATCCGTGACAATCGGTTCAGAATTAGATATAGCTCCCATATATATATATATATATATATATTCCGATTTAAGGTAATTGGTGCACCAAAGACCTTATATATCTTTTTCGATTTGCACTAAATTTGACATAGCGTACTGAATTGCGTCTATAATAATGTGTGCTAAGTTTCGTGAAAATCGGTTCACATTTAAATATAGATCCCATATATATTTTCATCGGATTTTAGGTAATTGGTTCAGAGACCTTAATCATTCGATTTGGACGAAATTTGTCATAGGGTATTGAATTAAGGCTAGAATGATGTGTGCTAAGTTTTGTTAAAATCGGTTCGGATTTAGATATAGTCCCCAATGTTTAGCGGGTCAAATATACTCTGACTTTTGTGTAAAAAATTACAACATTTATATTCTATGGCGAGAAACTGATAGAAAATCAAAGATGAGTGGTTATCCTTTAAATTGATACCTATTATATTTTCGTATGTACTCGGATGTGGAAGTTACACTTAAATATTTATAGGTGCTTACGTGTTGTGAAGGGTATAATTATCAACATGACTCTTGGTAGCGGTATTTTGTTGGTTTTGGGAACGTGTTTCACCCAATCTAGCTGTAATTATTTATATATTGTATTCTCATTGAGTAGAAAATCTATCTACCAAAAATGTTAAGGTTAACCACAGGGGTTACCGGGAACCCTCGTGTAATGTTACATCGTTATTTTGGGGGTTTGGGCATGTTTTTCCACCAAATTAATTTTAATTTGATTTTTCAAATTCCTATGGTGTAGAAAATCTCTTATCAAATATTATCAATGTCACTTGACGTTTTGGTATAGATCCCATAGAAAGCTACCATCTGATATTCGCTATTTTGAAAACTTAATCCACATTTCCCACCGATGTGGCTGTTATTTGTAATAAAGGCTTATGGAAGGCTGTCGGGTAGCCCCACTTTGTCAATATTTTGAAGATGTTTGCTTGATTTCTCCATTGGAAAGTAAAACTAATTTTGTGCGGAAAAATGTCAATGTAATTCCAAATTTGTATATAATTCCCACATACCCTTTTCGGTATTTGGTACTACCATATAACGCAATAGCATAGTCCGCATATAAATGTACCGATCGATTTAAGTTTATACCCTATAGCTTTGCATGACCGTCATATCACGACTACCTGAATCGATCTAGACATGTGTCTGTCTATTTAGACATGTGTCTGTCCATTTTAATTTGTAAACACAGTTCAGGCCAAAGTTATGAACCATTCGTCACGAAATTTTACATGTAGGACAAATTTGGCCAAAGAAAAGCATTAAAGTTCAAAGAAGATTTTTGTAATGATCGGTTTATATTTAGATAATTAAATGAACCAAAGGCTTTATTTTTGTCTGTCTTCTTAGAGGCCACAATTACGATCCGTACATCCATCCATGGAATAAGCATGACCCTTTTCATGGCAATCAGGTAATATTTAGCGAATCAAATGGACCCATACTTTTGTCTGAAAAATTACAAAATTGTTAACCGATAGCGTATGTATTCGTATGTATTCATTCAAGAAGGACATAGACCGGAGGATTTGACAATTAATCCAAAATGAGTGTTTGATCTTTAATTTGATACAAATTATATTGAGGTATGTACTTAGATGTGGGAGTTATACGTAAATATTTACAGGCGTTTACTCATTTTGTTGGTGTTTAGTATTATCATTACCATACTAGAGTCCGAAAATGTCGTGCGGGTCGCTTTGAAATGGTACATGAAGGTTTCGATTATGGTTAAGGACATCTCGTGTAATTTTCGGTGATGATCGGATGATATTTAGTAGAAAAATTGGATTGAAAACTTTATTTTTGTCTGGTTTTCTAGTCGCTATATACCACAACTTTATGTCGATCATCATAGCTTTTACACTGGGAAGGGTATCTGGTCAACTAATTGTATTAACTGTTTTTGTAATAATCGAAAAATATTGGCCTTATCAAATGAACCAAGGCTTGTTGTAAAATAACAAAATGTGAAAAAATAAAGCCGCAGAAAGTTAGTGGGCAGTTATTATTATACAGAATATCATAAGGTCAGTCCAATACGACTATACTGCTCCGCTCACAAAGTACAAAGTCTGTACATATGCGGTAGCCCTTGATTTGATATATTTCACACTAACTATATCGCCGAGAGAACACTTTTCACTTGTTATTTCCAA